CTCTCATCAGTCTCTGCTTCTTGACACACGCTGTTAACCTTTGCTGGAGATGTTCTTCTCCAACTCTGACCCTGCCTGGGGATCCTGCATCCTTCAGAGGGCTGCATGATATCACCTGTTGCTTCTGTCTGCTCTGTTTTCTGTGCTTTAGTTCAAAGTCCATCTTTCAATTTTACACACGACACTGAACTTCAGTGATAAGTGACATGACCAAGGTTATGTTGTTACTAAGCAAGGGCTCATCTGCTCGCTGCAAGACAAAAGCCAATCCGTCAAGAAGCAAGGTGGTGGAGAGAAAGAACTTAAGAGATGAGCTAGCCGATTGGAAGGTGGCAGACTATTGTCCTAAAAAAAACATCTTAAAGGGGAACTAATTTGGAAATGACTTATATAAGGCAAACGGGGTTGAGGAGGGGGCTCAGGAGTGTCAGGTGATGGATGACCGCAGACCTTTGGGATCCTCTCCGCAGACAAAGTTTTGGATCTGCTGAATGCAACATTCCTGAGGAACCTAAGAAAACATCAGTCACTTCCTTATCTGGCCCAGAAAAAACATTTTTGGGCAGAGAACATATATTTTCTGCTCATAAGTTATTCTTTCTACTGGTTACTTACGAGCTTGCCTACATGCAGTTCAAAGTGTTTTTCCAAAGCGTATTGTGAGAATCAGACAGGGAAGGGGGTCATGTGGTCTTGGGGGCTGAAGTTCTAAGAGTCCTCTACGCAGGGGTGACTTTCATATTTCTTCATCGGTTGCATGTGCAAATTCAGGGGGGTTCTATGGGTTGCATGCAGTAGATTTTTCGTCTGTGACGTGTAAATCTTACAATCATTTTAGCTTCTCAATGTTCCTGTGAGATGCTTAGTCAGGTGGGGTGGCTGTGAGCAAGCTACTCTCTTTATCAGCGGTCCTCCTGCTGTTCTGTAAGGCAAGCTCAGAAACTTTGGTTACTTTCTTTCCCACGTTAATCTTGTGGATACAGGCACAGTTTCTCTCGAATCCAGGGAAATTTTAACTCCTTCATCTTCAGTTTCAATGTGGCTGGGGTTGGCCCAGTGCACATAGGCTGGAATCCCAATCAATCCCAACCCCAAGCTCTTAGCTGCTAGGTCACTCTGCCCCCTCCACACCTGCCCTTCTACCCCCATATTTCAATCCTTCTACGTCTTGTACTAATGGGGTTCCCAGACACATTTCAAAGTTAACAGTTACTTTATTGAGCCTACTTCATTTAACGTGTTCTCCACAGGAGAGGAACTTAAGAGCAGGGCCCACATCTCAGTCACGCATGAGAGGTCTCAACTTCTCATGGTATGCCATGGGATGAAGGACGGGGTCTCTTCCCTCTTGCCCAAACAGCAGCAAGATCACAGCTAGCCCCTCTGATTGAACACAGAAGTGAAGAGCAGATGGTGAGAAATGGGAGATGCGGGAACAAACCTGAGTCTATCCTCTGGATGGCGTGTCAAAATGGCTTCAGGACAAATGCAGGCCCAGGTCTCTGAATGTGCTGTGTTATACTGACGAGCTCCCAGGCATGGAGAGAAACATCCTGTGCAGGAAACAGTTTCCTCCACCCTTACAGACCTAAAAGTTAAGCTACAGGTACAGCCACAACCACTGCACAGACAAGCCCTCCTGAGAGAGGACAGAGGAAGGAGGGGCCCTTGAGAGGCAACTCTCTTTCCCCAAATAGAAAAGTATACATAGTGTCATTAAAAAATTATAAGTATTGTGACTACTGACTCATTGAGAAGTGCACACATAATAATGAAATGCGGTAAAGCACCAGTCTACAACAGCGATGCCAAACTACACCTGCACTCATTTACAAGGCTGAGGAGGGCTCAAAGGGAGGATCTGATGATTTTTATGCTAAAAATGCCTAATGTATATTTTAACGTGAGGTAACGATGATCATCCCATTTAGTTAAACATTTCGCCTCCAAGACAATCCCAAAGGAGATATTCCAAAGCACCTCAAATTTATCTATGTGGAAATAAGGCCGTGGGAGTAAACGTGAAACCCACATTGAGCTGCACCTCCACATCATCTTCATCTTCCTGGTGAGTCTCAATCACTTGTCTTTATAGCAACACTTGACATATTCTTATAAAAGTAAACAATGAGATTCCTTATCCACATTTGTTTTTTTGGAGTTCATCATGAATTTAACTTGAACGTGTGTTTTACTGTTTGTTTGAGCCATAATTCAACCCACAGAAGACTTCTGAGGTGGACTTGGAGAAGACTCTCAAGAGAAGACTTTAAAAAGTGAAAAACCCAGTCAGAGGAAAGACCAGGTGAGTCCCTGGGAAGGCCGTGCGGCTACACAATCACCGTCGTGCCTCAGATAAAATATAGGAAAAATAAACATGTAGTTTGGGATTAAGGAAAAGTGCGCACACTGGATGTTTAAAATGACAAACAGAAAAGGCTTGTTTTTTTTTTTTAATTGACGCCTTCTCTCACCATTCTTATCTAAAATAGTACTGGAAGTCCTAGCTCGAGCAATCATGCAAGACAAAGAAATAAAAGGCATCCAAATCAGAAAGAAAAAAGTAAAATTGTCATTATTTGCAGATATGATTTTATATATTCAAAATCCCAAAGACTAAACTAAAAAACTGTTGGATTTAATCAATGACTTCAGTAAAGCTGCAGGATATAAAATCAATATACACAAATTGGTTGCATTTCTATACACTAACAATGAAGCATTTGAAAAAGAAACAAAGAAAAGTATCCCATTCAAAATAGCATCAAAAACAATAAAAGACGTAGGAATAAATTTAACTAAGGAGGTGAAAGATCTCCACAATGAAAACCATAAGACTTTGTTGAAAGAAATTGAAGACAGAAGTAAATGGAAAGATATCCCGTGTTCGTGGATCAGAAGAATTAATATTGTTAAGATGTCCATACTGCCCAAAGCCATCTAGTGATTCAACACAATGCCTATCCCAATTCCAATGACATTTTTCACAGGAATAGAAAAAGTCCTAAAATTTGTATGGAACAACAGACCCTACATAGCCAAAGCTATCATGAGAAAGAGGAACAAAACCAGAGGCATCAAACTTCCTGATTTCAAACTATACTATAAAGCTATAGTAATGAAACCAGTATGGTACTGGCATAAAAACAGACACACAGACCAGTGGAACAGAAGAGACAGCCCAGAATTAAACCCCCACATATATGGTCAACTAGTACTTCACAAGGAAGCCAATAACATCCAATGAGGAAAGGATAGTTTCTTCAACAAATGGTGTTGAGAAAACTGGATAATCCCATGCAGAATAATGAAATAGGCCCCTATCTTATACCACTCACAAAACTTAACTTGAAATGGATCAAAGACTTAAACACAACACTTGATACCATAAAACTCCTAGAAGAAAACTCAGGGAAGAAGCTCCACAACACTGGTCTTGGCAACAATTTTTTTGGATGTCACACCAAAAGCATAAACAACAAAAGAAAAAATCAACAACTGGGACTATATCAAACGGGAAAGCATCTGTAGAGCAAAGGAAACAACTAACAAAATAGAAAGGCAACCTAAGGAAGGGGAGAGAACATTTACAAACCACTATCAGATAAGGGGTTAATATTCAAAATTTATAAAGAATTCACACAACTCAATAACAAAAAAATTTCAGTTAGAAAATGGGCAGAGGAACTAAATAAACATTTTCCCAAAGAAGACATACAGAAAGCCAACAGCACATGAATAGATGCTCGATATCACTAATCATCAGGGAAATGCAAACCAAGACCACAATGAGATACCACCTCACACCTCTCAGAATGGCTATCATCCAAAAGACAAGAGACAACAAGTGTTGATGAGAATGTGAAGAAAAGAGAAAGAACACTTGTGCACTGTTTTTGGGAATGTAAACTGGTCCAGCCACTCTGGAGAACAGTATGGAGGTCCCTCAAAAAGTTAAAAATATAACTATCATATGATCCAGCAATTCCACTTTTGAGTAAATAGGCAAAGGAAATGAAAACCAGATATCGAAGATATGCACTCCTATGTTTACTGCACCATTATTCACAATAGCCAAGATATGGCAACAACCTAAGCATCCACCAATGAATGAAGATATATATACATATATATATATGTATGTGTATATATATATACACACACACACACATATACACTGGAATACTATTCAGCCATGAGAAAAAAAGAAACCCTGCCATTTGGGACATGGATGGACCTTGAGGACATTATGCTAAGTGAGATAAGTCAGACAGAGAAAGACAAATACTTTATGATCTCATTTGTGTGTGGAACCTTAAAAAAAAAAAACCCAAAAACTGAACTTGAAAAAACAGAGTGGAATGGGGGTTACCAAAGGCTGGGGGATGCGGGAACGGGAGAGCTGTTGTTTAAGGGTACATACTTGTAAATAGTAAATAAATAAGTCCTGGAGACCTAATACACTGTACAGGAATTACAGACAACAAAACTGTATCACAAACATTAAATTTGTTCCCACCACCAGAAGAAATGATAATTTTGTGACACAACAGAGAAGTTGGCTAATGCTACAGGGCAGTCATACTGCAATATAAACGTATCAAATCAAAATGCTAAAAACCATAAACCTATACAGCGTTATATGTCAATTACATCTCAATTAAAAAAAATTGATTAAAGAAATAGAAATAAAATTGAACTCTTAAATGGTCTTAAGTGATGCAACAAAATGCACCCATTCATGTGCATGCTTATCTCCTTAGACATAAAGTACTGTAGGCAACAATATTTTTAGTATTTTAATTTCTCTCAAGTGCTTCATAAATCAGGGCTTCACATTTATTACAAAGACTTATGCTCCTGAATGGTCGAGACAATGTTTTATTAAAAAGAAGGATTTCAATAAATATTTGCAGAGCTGCTGTCAAGTGTCCAGCTCTCCTGACACAGGGTGGCAGAGAGTGTATATGAAGTCAGGTGGAGGGGACGAGGTCCTATACTGCTCCTCCCTGCCACCCAACAACAAAAACAACTGATAACAAACTGTCATGGGTTTGTCACGGACACCTAAAAGACGCCATGAACGCATTTCTTTTTCTGTTACATCTACTTCTTTTCTTCCTCCCCCTTATGCCTCTTTTCTTTACTATTCCTGTGATTGCTTTACAGTGCATACTAAGGGTAGAGCTGTAGCTGAAGGTTTTGTAATTGCACAATAGCCACTGGTTCTCTCTCCTTTATGAATTTTTGGATTAGAGTAAGCTCCTAGGCTGAGTCAATTTTCAATGTGACTCTTTAAATGACAATAAGTGATGCTTTGCCTCAGAAGATTTTCTCACAGCGATGACACTTATGGGGTTTCTCTTTGGTATAATTTCTCAGGTGCTGAGTAAGACATTTCCTACAGCCAAAAGATTTTCCTCAGGCGTTACATTCAAAGGTCTTTCTCCAGTATGAGTTCTCAGAAGTTGACCGACATAAACCCACTTGTAAAAGGCTTTCCCATGTCTCTTACATTCACTATAAAGTATAAGAGACTCCGAGTATGAAGTATGAAGACTCCGAGCACAAGTAAGGGATGAACCAAGGCTGAGGGCCTGTCCATTCACTATACTTGCAGGGTTTCTTCCCAGTGTGACTCCTTGGGTGTTGAGGAGTTAGGGAAGAGCAGTCACAAAACACTCTCTGATATTCTTTACACTCAAAAGGTTTTCCCCAGTGAGGATCCTCCCATGACAGAAAAGAATGAAAGGGTGAATGAAGGCCTTTCCACATTCACTGCACTCAGGGCTTCTCTCCTGTGAGAACCCTCATGTGATGAGAGAAAAAAACAGCCGTCACAAAAGGCTCACCCATGTGTTTTGCACGCCAAGACTTTCTCTAGAGTGGGAAATATTTTGGACAAAAGCAGAGCTGTCACAAGAGACTTTCCCACATTCTTTGCATTGACAAGGCTTCTCCCCAGTGTCAATCTGCTGGTGCTGGTGCTGCATGAGGTCTGACCTGCAGTTGAAGGCCTTCCCACCCAGGAAGCACTCACATGGCTTCGCGGAGTGTAAATCCTCATGTGTTGACTGAGGTCCACCCATGTGACAAAGCCTTTCTCATGTGCACTGCCATCACAGGGCTTCACGTCAGCATGGTCTGCTGATGTCGAACAACAGGCCAACGTTTGTTCGACCCTTTCCCACATTCCTTCCACTTGTGGAGATCCTTCCCTGCATGGACCACAGAAGCTTTACCTGGTCCAGGTGAGTTCTGTTCATGAAAAGCATCTCCTGGAGCCTCGCTCCTGTGAAACTCTTGAGTGGGGATTATCATCTGTCCCCACACCACAGGGTTCAGAGCTCGTCCTCCTGGGGAGACTCTCCTTGGGGGAGTCTCTCGCCCTTTCTGCATCTGGCCCTCCTTGTTCACCAGCTCATGCCAACCAGGAGTCCCTTGAGACTCCAAGGCAACTGACCCTGGAGCAAGGCTCCTTCTGACAAGGCTCCTTCTGACAAGAGGTGGAAGGTTTCATGGCCTCAGGTGGTACTTTCTTGCATAATGAATCCACTACACAAATGGGCCTGTTAGTCACGCCAGCACACAAACGCCTCCCAACACTCAGGGCTCTGTGTGGCTTCACCCCACTGTGAGGGGCCTGGTATGGACAAGTCCAGAGCTGACCAAGAAGTTCTTGGGACCCTCCGTGTGAATGAAGGCCTCTCACACATGAGATCTGCAGCTCTTCACCAACAAGGTCTGGCCCTTCTCCCTTCTGAGGAATTACTCTCAACTCTGCTGCTTCTGCATCCAGTCAAGGTTTACGTTCAACCAGAAGTATCTCCAAATGATTCACATGGTGGTGTATGGGTGCTACCCACATGGTGTTCCCTGTGGCTCAGCCAGATGCAAAAATGTCTCTCAAGACCGGGCTACACGTGTCACAGGGGTGAGCCATTTGGCTGGAAGGACCCCTCCTGGGAGTTCTCATCTGTGACACGCTTACAGAAAAGCCCTGCTCACAAGGTGCATCCTCATCTTCCACTCCATGCCAAAAACCTGAAGGAAGATAAATGCTAGTGAAGTGCATGTTTAATTGGTGGCAAGGGGTATCCCATAACTAATGTGTGTCTGATACAACCAGGAATTAGTCCACGGGTTGTTGGCAGAACATGGGAGCTAGAATCAGCATGAGGAAGGGCTGCTGTGTACTGTGGGCCTCTAAAGGTCACAGAATGGAGACTTCACAGAGTAGAGGGGACAAGGACAGAGCACAGTTTAAGAAGGAGTGGCATGGTCTCCAAACCACCCCTCCGCCAAGAGTTTCCCAGCAAAACCTTGGTTCCTTGTTATACATGAGTGCTGTGCAGAAGGGTCTATCCAGGGCAGAAACACCTGAAACTTGCTTTTTGAACAGAATAGTGATCAAAGAAAATTTAAGGATATATGTGCATCTCATGACATGTTAAATGAAAGCAAATGCTGTAGAGTGCTGCATGGAGAACGGAGAGAAGAGATAAGTTGTGGGGACTAGCCGGGTGGGAGCTAACAAGGACCCGAGGTCAAAGTGAGCAAAGCATCAAAAATGGGGAAGGACAAGTAGGGTAACATTAGCCCCTGGGGTTGACCTCAAAACACCAGTAGACACAGCACAAGTTGCTGGTATAATGTGAAGCCAGCCCCGATATGACTGTTGCCAAAGTTTCTACTCACCAGGCCTCCTCCAGGTCTTCTTTGCTGTGGCTGAGGTTGTGTCTACCTTCTCAGGCACCCTTGGCTCCCCTCTGGCTCCATTTGGGTAACTACATGAGACCTGGAAACTGCAAGTCCTACAGGGAAAGAAGAACTGCTGAGTGGCCAGCAGTGACCCAGGGAGACCCTCTCCACAGAGAAGAAAATTAAATGTTGAAAAAGGAATCTTGGAGGAGGGTCTTACAGGAACAGCTCAGTGTTCTTCACAAGGAGTGACCATGTCATTGCTGGCAATTCCTGGAACCTTCAGGCACCAAGAAATGTCAATTAGAGGAAGGGGGCAGAACCTTCTCTGTATATTCAAGTGGCCACAACTCACATGGTCCCAAATTAAGTGTAAGGAAATCTGGGACATGCTGTCATCCCATGTGCCCAGAAAGAGAAAATGGGGTTGGTAAGCATCCAGCTAGTTTATAGTGCAATCTATCCATTTGGTCACCACATATTTTACTGTTTCTCTTTATGCATTCTACACTGCCACCCTTTTATTATTCCAACAACACAAAATCCCATATAATCACTAAGCCCATCTCAATGTTACAATTCTAGGTGTGTTGTACTTTGCATCAGGGTCAAATACTGTCCCTTAACACCAGGAAACTATCAACACAAAATACATCATCTCTACTCACACACAATACATAGCGGGTCAGGGACATAGTGGAAGGACATACTGAAGATGCCAAACGAACCACCACCAACATAGACTTCTATACTCACCAAGAGTGTTTTTCAAGAAAGTGCATGAAATACGACTATATTATAAAAGGCCAAAATGAGAAATGTAATAGAAAAGTAACCCACACAAAAAAAATCCTAAATTTTTCATTTAAGGCCAAAAGAAAGTGATCCCAGGTGAAAGATCTACAGCAATAGAAGGAATGAAGATTGAAGAGAAGGATGCATCTGTGGATTAATACAGTTATTCACTACCTGTATAAAACATGAACAGCATCTCCTTGTTGAGTAGAACGAGAAAATTACCATGCAATCCTCAATAATACCCCTTTATCTTATGCAAGAGGAGAGTGAAGATATTAATTCTATACTCTGTTACGTGAAAGACATGTTATTTTTAGCTTAAACTTTTTAAATAAAATAGGATATATACATTCCCAACTAAAAGTAAAGTTTAAAATGCAAATAATCTATACAAATTCTTAAAACAGAGTAAAAGAAACAGAAATGAAGCAAAAATAAAAAGATGCATTTTCACACTCATCACTAATCATCAGGGCAATGCAAATAAAAACCACAGTGAGATATCACCTCATACCTGTCTCACTGGCTATTACCAAAAAAGCAAAAGACAAGTCTTGGTAAGGATGTGAGAAACTGGAACCCCTGCACACTCTTGGTAGGAATATCAAAATGGTGCAGCTGCTATGGAAAACAGTACAGAGGTTCCTCAAAAAACTAAAAATAGAACTACCATAGGATCCAGTAATCCCACCTCTGCATATATATCCAACCTAACTGAAATCAGGACCCAGAAGAGATATTAACAGTTCCATGTTCACTGAAGCAATATTCACAATCGCGAAGATAAGGAAACAACCTAAATGTCCATCAAAAGATGAATGGGGGCCGGCTCTGTGGCTTAGCGGTTAAGTGCGCGCGCTCTGATGCTGGCGGCCCGGGTTCGGATCCCGGGCGCGCCCCGAGGCACCACTTCTCCGTCCAACGCGAGGCCAAGTCCCACGTACAGCAACTAGAAGGATGTGAACCTATGACATACAACTATCTACTGCGGCTTTGGGGGGAAAAAATGAAAAAATAAAATCTTTAAAAAAAAAAAAAAAAAAAGATGAATGGATGATGAAAACGTGATATATACATAAAGTAGATTATTATTCAGCCTTGAAAAACAAGGAAATTTTGCAATATGTGACAACATGGATGCATCTTGAAGATATTATGCTAAGTGAAATAAACCAGACACAGAAAGACAAGTACTGTGGGATTCCACTTATGTGAGGAATCTAAAACAGTCAAATTCATAAAATCAAAGACTGGAATGGTGGTTATCAAGGGCTGAGAGGAGGAGGAAATGAGGCGTTATTAATCAACGACGTTTCAGTTAAGTAACATGAATAAGCTCTGGGGACCTGCTGTACAACATTATATCTACAGGCAATACTAATGCATTGCAAACCTAATATTGGTTAGATCTCTGTTAAGTGTTCTTACAAAAAAGATAAATCAGTGGTTGCCAAAAGAGAGGAGAGTGGAAAAGGCTGGTACATAGGTGGAACACAGGGGATTATTAATGCAGTGAAACTATCCTGTATCACACTGGAATAGTGGCAATACGACATTATACATGTGTCAAAACACACAGAATGAAGAACACAGAGAATGAACCCTAATGAAATCTGTGAACTTTAGTTAATAATCATCAGTTGTAAGAAATGTACTACACTAAAACAAGATGCCCTATCAGGAAACTTCGGATGTACTTTCTCCTGAATTTCTCTGTCAAGTTAAACCTGCTCAAAAAAGAAAGTTTAATTTAAAAAATGTTAATCATTCTCCTTCTATGACCCTGTCATTCTGTTCCCAGGCATTTAACAAAGAAAAATAAAACATGTATCACTGCAGCCCTAGACTCTCCTGTGAGGTATACATGATTGCTTCCACATCACCTCACACCTGCTTCCCAAAGTTTAGTAATTAGAAGGACTTACAATAACACACTTACATTTAATTTGCTTTTCTTTCTTTTTATTTTTTTTAATAATTTTATTTATTTATTTTACCACCAAATCCCCAGTATATAGTTGTATGTCATAGCTGCACATCCTTCTAGTTGCTGTATGTGGGACGCGGCCTCAGCATGGCTGGACAAGCGGTGCATCGGTGTGCGCCCGGGATCCGAACCCGGGCCGCCAGCAGCGGAGCACGCGCACTTAACCGCTAAGCCACGGGGCCGGCCCTAATTTGCTTTTCTATTATACTCTTGAGTTTGAACATCCATTCATAGTCTTGATAGCCACCTGGTTTTCCTCTGTTGGGGACGATATCCTCATACTTGAGTTCATTTGCAGGGCCTTTGACAATGTATTCTGAAATGAGAATCTAAATCTTGTGCATCTAATACTGAGCATATGTAGCTATTTAAATGTCTTCTCTCAATCCTGCAACTCTAAATTCTGACTGTCATAAGTTTTATGGAACAGAAAATATTAAATTTAGATGTAATTAATCAATTCTTCATCTAATATATGTTGCATGATGGAATTAAAAAAAATAATACCAGGGATTAAAATGTGGGGTTTGTTCCCAGATCTCTAACACTATTCTCTTTCCATTTCCTATATCATACTCCCTGTTGACTTTTCTCAAATAAGCCAACTGGTTTGAGGATGTCCTGAGATGGTGCTTAAGAAAGCCCCTAACACAAGACATGTCACATAATAAGCAGTCAATAAAAATCAAATTTTCTTCTCTGTTCCTTCTGTATCACATTATCTGCCCTTGTTTTATTTTCTCTTTTTCTTCTATCTTCTCATCTTTCAACTCCTGCTGTTTTTTTATTCTCCTTTTTTTGTGTGTGAGGAAGATCAGCCCTGAGCTAACATCCATGCCAATCCTCCTCTTTTTGCTGAGGAAGACTGGCCCTGAGCTAACACCCATGCCCATCTTCCTCTACTTTATATGGGACACCACCACAGCATGGCCTGAGAAGCGGTGCATCGGTGCGCTCCCGGGATCCAAACCCGGGCCGCCAGCAGCGGAGCATGCGCACGTAACCGCTATGCCACAGGGCCGGGCCCCCTCCTATCATTTTATCTAAAGGAAAAAAGAAAGAAAACTAAAGATCCCATTTTCAATGGCAATGATTTCTCGAATATGACAACAAAAGCACATACAATAAAAGTAAAAATAGATAAACTGGACTATATCAAAAGAAAAAGCTTCTGTATATTAAAGGATAAAATCAACAGAGTGAAAAGGCAACGCACAGAGTGACAAAATATTTGCAAATCATGTATCTGATAAGGGAACAGTATCAGAATATATGGAGACTCCTAAAGGTAAACAACAAAACAAATAATTTCAACTTAAAACTATACAAAGTATCTGAACAGGCATTTCTCTAAAGATGATACACAAATGGCCAACAAGCAAGTAGAAAAGATGCTCAACATCACCAACCATAAGGAAAACACAAATCAAAACAATAATAAGACAACACCATACACACATTAGAATACCTGATAA